TACATATATTAGCGCGGAAAAATGAATCAACCTCTCAACTCTAGACGTTGTTTCATGGACCATTTCATATACGTATCGTGTACACTATCGCGGGAAAAAATGAATCAACGCCTCGGGTTAGAGGTTCTTTTGTGGAGTCGCTGTCTCTCCGACTCTGGACGTGTATTAATATCGCCCATCGCGGGGTTTGTCGTCCATGTCCATGACCATCATTTCTCGTTGCTCCTCTTTAGGGGAATTGTTGGCTCTCGCTCGAGATGTCGATAGCACCGAGGTGGACACTCCAGTCCGTTCCTCGAGGAAACGTTGCTCGACGAGACAGAAGGACGAAGGAGAAGAGGGATTCGACCGGTTGATGGAGTGCGTGTTGACTTAGGATAACAGTCGCCTCATCAGTCAATCAGTCAGTCAGCCAGATCTTGGTATAGGTGGGCATCCGAGGCCGCAGGTCTTGAGTCCACTGGGACGGACTTTAAGGTCCCATTTACACCGTAGGGCCTTTATCCGCCACCCAACGAAGGACTTTCACCGTGGAAAAATAAACGGCAGACTTAGGTAGCCTCCCCATTGACGTTTCGTGCTCTCGCTTTACCCTATTTCTCCATTAGTGCGAAATAAAGGATTAAACGCGAGCCGATGTCGCCGGGATGTCAACGTCCCAAGTCAGCGGACTGACCGTCTGACTTTAAACCGCGATGACGAAAAGAACTCTACGACTCGACGCGACAACCTGGATCCGAGTCCTCGAGGACTCGTCCAGGACCATCGAGGAACTTGCACCGATGACGTATCTCGTGATGGATTCGACGAGGCATCCTACAAGAGACGTCGGTCCGGTTCTATCTCCTCCACTTCCGACTAATTCGTCTGTGTCAACCGATGGGAGATCGTTACGCACCGGTTCGTACAAAGAGCGGCCTGAGTAATTTTAACATGCTCGGTTGACACGTCGAAATCTACACCGGAGAACCCACGAGGCACCCTGTTCCCAAATTTGATTTTCTGGACACCTAGGAAACACAGCCCATATCCTGCGTCTAAGCTATCGAAATCGAACCCATCGGAAATTTGACTAATCCGAGATTAATTAATCACGGTTAGGAAATTTAACTGTAGTCATGAGTTAACGAGGATCAGGAAACAGGACTTTAGGCCAGGATTCGACCGCGACAGCGGGGACGCGTCGCGGATATGACTCTCTTTTTCTCTAGTCTCGGAAGGATAACAACCGGAGGTTCTCCCTCGCAGTGTCAGTTCTCTTTCTCGTTTGATCTCGAGTTGGCAGGACTCTTCGGCCCTCGCACGCACGTCCCAGGATCGCGCTCCTTGAGCGGAGAAGAGGGTTTCGAGTGGCTCGCATTCGCGTCGTCTCGGAGATGAAGCGGAGGCGAATGGATTCAGCCGTCAGTCAGTTCCGTGGCAGACCAGGAGGGAATCACAATGCGCAGCATCCCCTCCTTCGGAGCCCATCCTGCACCCATCCGTCCGTCCGTCCGTTCGCCCGTCCATCCGCATATCCATCCGTCCGTCTCCTCGCCTGTCTGTCGGTCTCCTCTCCTCATCCGCGTCTTTCCGTCCGCGTATCACCCCCAGCCTCTCCGCCTCTCCGGGGGCACCGCCGATCTCGCATCAGAAATTCATCTCGTATCTCATCTTCCGCGCCTCCACCTCTCGGGCCCACCTCCTTTTGTTCCACCGCGCCGAGGCGGCTTGTTATTATGTACTCTTTTATTGCCGGCACGATAACTCCGCAGGGTGCCCAGAGCAGAGGAACCAGGATCGAAAAAGTTATCCGATACCGCCGCCGAAAGTAAAAATCATCCCCCCCAGGGGGGGGGAGGGAAGAGGTCCCTGAAGAGCCACCCTCGCGTGGCTCTTGAAGAGACGTTGTTCCTTGCGTCGCTTCTTCCATTCTTGCGTCTTTGGGGGGAGTTTCAAAGTTAAGGAGGATTCAAAGGAGCTGGGGAACATCACCGAAGGGAACCAGCTCGGAGGAGCTTCCCGAGTTCCCCTGCGACGATTGGAAGGAGTTTATCACCTGGAACAACCTGCTGGGGGCATCGGGCTGACCCCTGGAGAAAGGAGCATGACCCGATGAGACAACCTCGAAGACTGCCTGCGTACACGTGTACACGCGTATGTAAGACTGTATCAGCCAGGCGTGCATGTTTGCCGGTAAAGGAGAAAAAGGAGCAGGGGCTGAAGAAGAGCCGAGGGGGGCCGCGGGGGGCAGAGAGCCCAACGGTGGGTCGTTACACGTTAGAAAGAAGGGTCCGCCGATAAGACTAATTATTGTTGTGCATTGTCGGCGAGGTAGTAGGTGGTTACCTCCACCTGTGGACCGGCGTGCAGACCTGGAGATAGGGTAAAGCGAGAGGGAAGGACGCATTAAGCCCGAGGTGGAGGAGGAGGGAAAGAGTTAGAGGTAAAGAGGTAAAGAGGGTAGACGGGGGACCGGCTACGTACGTAGCTACTAATATATCGTGTTCGCCGGGCAGGACCGAGTGAGCTGAGGACAGGAGGAGCGGATATCGGTTCTCAGCATCTCCTCGAGTGTCAAGAGTCTCGGTCGGGCCGGTATACTACGGTCCTTGTTCCTTGTTCCCTTCGTATCTTTCCCGAAGGGGCGCCCCGAGCCTTGTTAGTGGCAGCCAATGGGATCGCGACGCAGGGTCGTGCCGGGTATTTGCATCTGGGAACCGGAGCCAGGGATATACCCGCCTTTCGAGCGACATCGGGGAAACTTGATGAAGTCGGCCCCGATTCCGCGCAATCGCCGATTGCCGATTTAACGTCGAGGTACCAGGGATGAGGGAAGTCAATTGCGAGGTACCTGGTACCACTTGGTGCACGTGGAAAAATAAATCACGGTCATAACGAGAAGTGTCAGCTTGCTTCGGAATCGCCCTTCGGGTCGACAAGAATCCGGGATCGCTTGATCAATGACAATATTTTCTGGACATTGTTACAAATTCGTCAGCAAGTTTACCAAGTACTCCATCCATGGATTTTTTCCGTGCGGTCCGGAATTTATCGCGGCTGAATACGTTATCGGATTCTTTTGGGGGCTTGGGAACTTCGAGGTCGAGGTCGAAGCCGACGAAGGAAGAGGTTATAGCGAATCAATCTCGAGGTGCCACGCCTCTGGCGTGGTAGCGGGTACCCGTTGGTGGGGTCCGCGAATTCTCCGTACCATGCCCAGTCGGGACTTCTTGGGCCACGGGACTTTCGAAGTCGAAGGGGGTAGGTACCGGCGAAAGAAGAGGTTCCAGGAGCGGGCGGGGCTGACTGCCGGTGGTCCGCCCTGGTCCCAGGCTGGACCTGGCTGGACCTGGCTGGACCCTGTTGAACCTCGTCGGACCTCGACGGACCTCGACGGACCTCGTCGGACCTCGCCGGACCTTGCTCGATCGGGTCCAGGGGCCTGAGAGGGGTCCGCTCTCCCTGCGCACCTTCCACTCTCGCTCCCGACTCGGAGACAATGGACAATGGGGACATAAATCTGCGTAATTAGTTGCCGATGCCCCTACGGATCAATGTGCGATCTCCTTTCTCTCCCCCTTCGACTCGGCCGCGAACAAACGATCCCTTGGTTGGTCAGTTGGCGAGGTAGGACGGTGCTTGGTCCCCACCAGGGCACGGGTGCGAGCCGGAGGACGACACCTCCCCTGATCCGGAGGTGGACGCGCCAGGAGCAAGATGGCGGCCCCACGTCCGGGAGCGGTATTCCCGCCGACTTGGTCCCGCACTTCCTTTATTTACATCCTGCCCCTCGACATAGACGTCCCTGTCCCTAGGATCCTCCACCTGTTCGCCGTAGATCCTTGGATAACCCCTCCACCCACCATCGTCCCACCATCGTCTCCAGGACCTCTTCAAGGAACGTCCCGTGTCGTCAACCCCGAAATTCCCCTCTTGGTCCCCGTTCCAAGGGCCCAATTTTTTAAACCCGACTCGAACCTCGCTTCCATTCGTTATCTCGGTACCGGGAACCCTCATACTCCTGCTTGCATTGGGAATGATTTGATTAAAATTCATAATGCCGATGACGGAAGACCTCCGCGCTGGCAACAATGGCGTCGTCAGCTCTCGACGACGTTTCTCCCTCCTGGCATAGCAGACGTCTTTGGCGTCGAAGGCTGATAAATGAACCGATAGCGCCATTGTAACCACCATCTGCACCTTTATATCAGCCCTCTGTATACTTAGGTGCCGCCCACGAGCCTTTCGTCATTTCTGATTTTCTCGTTAGGGCTGTGCTTCCTTCTGCTTCGAATCTACGTTTGTTTATTCCTACCGCCAGGTTGTCGCGATAAAGGGCGAAGCAAATCCTGGCACACCTTGAAGCTAGATTTTCCACGTCGCGCCGCACGCCCCGAGGCCCCTTCGGTTCCTTTCCAAGTTCCCTTTAAGAGGAAGGTCGCCGAAGACGGAGTTCGGTAGCATCCTTGTTCGGAAAGCGACGACACGGTCGCTTTTCCAAGACTCCTCGGCTCTGTTCGCCGTCCCTTTGGAAAGCTCCCCGACCAGGGGCGTCACTCTAGACGGATAATTAGCGGCGGTGCCGCGGGCCGCTAATTACCCGGCGTTTGTACCCTCTTCGGCCGAGGTTCGCAGGAAATGAAGCCGAGATCAAGCCGCGAATTGCGCTAATAACCGCGGAAGTGAGCCGCCGGATCGGCCCGGTCGCAAATCGCGAAGACGCTCGCGAGTCGGCTAATACCAATTTGGAGAAAGCTCCCCCAAAACTCGAGCACATTATCGCCGAGTTGCATCGCGATGCAAAAATCGTCATGCGTTTTCGTGGATCTTATATGAATTATCGCATATTATGGAGGGAATATTGCGAGCCGCCCTGGCAATAATGTGCAAGAGCCTTTAGGGCTACCACCCCCTGGCGATCGATATCACAACAAAAGTTGCAACCACCGCGAAGATAAAAAAAATGACGGGGATTTTATTCCCGAAACTCATGCGGTGCCTTTCTTTGTCTGATCCAGGGGAGGACGGCGTAGAGGGCGCTGGACCGGGTACGGATCTCCAGGGCGAAGAGGGCGACTGCGCGGACGAGGATGGTCCTGTCAGCCCCAGCGAGAGGGGCTGCGTCCCGACGGCGAAGGATGACGACGACGGGGATGTCACCGACGAAGAGGACGACGACGACATCTCGCCACCCGCCCCCTCTCCTTCGGCATCCGCGAGGTTAAACCCGGTGGCACTTCGGGACACAGGACCTCCCGACAGGTTGGTGTGAAAAATCGAGGACCCCCAAAATGGACCCACCGTCCACAATTAACATCCTCCAAGTCGTCCCCACAACAAACACCCGCAATCGGCAGCCTCGCGAAAGACAAACACCCAGCATCTCGCAAAGGCTTCGCTATTTCGCGGGGTTCTAAATCACCCACGCGGCCTGGATTCTTTGAAGTCGCCGCCTTGGGTCGGCTCTTATTGTTTAACGGCAACAAATCGCACCGGATAAGCCGCTGATAAATCTACGCCGTCAGGTTGCGGTATCTACTCGCGGATTGTCGCTATCAGCGGGCAAAGTGTTACGTCACTCTGTTAATAGAGATAGGAACGCGCTTCCCGACCCTCGTTCACCCCACCCTGAACCCGGGAGCCCCCTCCCGTTGTACCAAAAACTTCCCCTGCATGCGTACAACTGCATCCCCTTTCATCCCCGACACGCATTCGGCATTCAGTCAGGAGTCAGTTACGAGCGAGCCGTCGCCAAGCCTGTAACGTGTCTCCCACGTGGCGCCTCCGCCCTCGGTTGACGTTTCACGACCACGTGCGTGTCCAACCCCCGAGATAACCGCTGCGTAAGTGCGAAAAGGACGCTTCTGCCTGAACCAGTCGACGTCTCATCTAGAATTTTTGTATATAACTTTTGCCCCCCCCCCGCGGAAAATTTCAAAAGACGTTAATTTCTCCCGCAAGTTTGCGCCGATGAAGCCGCACAAAACAATCGCTTGGAAGAGCGGCGACAGCTCGTGAAATATTAATGTCGAAAGCAGCGGATACTCGGTTGCGCGATCGATCATGGGGAATTCGTCGGCTGGTCTATGTTGATTAATGATCCTTGCTTCAATCTATGAACGGCATGCATACGTAGCGACCCATTTTCACCCGCCATTTGCCTGATACCGCGTCGCTATAAAACACGTAAACGGGCATGTGTGGAACGGAAGTGTAGTGAAACGGGACCGGCTAGGTCGGCATTGCTAAATAATCGCAACATAAATTATAAAAACATTCCCGGGGCCATATATCAGGGGATCGAGAGCGCAGTTGCGGCGTCAGCTTCAGGTGGTTGATCTAGAATTCGCTTTCCTCGAGTGTGGTTCGTGGGGATAGGGATACAGGAGAACGATCGTCTAGATTGGTTGTCGGAGAACGGAAGGACCAACCAGGGTGTAATTTCTGTTCGCAGGGAGCCAATGAGTCCACGCTGTCCCTCGAGGGACTCCCGAGAATCATTTGGCCCAGCAATCGGAAGTCCGCCTCCACCAGCAACGCGGAGCAGCGCGAGTCCGGTCAGTCCCAGCAGCATCGTGCCTCTTCCCCTGGGGACGCATCCGTTGCTGCCGCCCCATTCAGCGGCCGTGATGGCGGCCTATCTCCAACAGACCCATCAGCGACTGATGCTGGGACATTCCCCCTTATCCCGGGGTTCGGTATCCCCCCTGGTGTCGTCGTCTTGTTCCCCACCAGCAGCAACGCCGGGTCTGCTGGTGTCGCCTAACAGCGGGGGCGAGATGTCCCCATCGGCGACGCCCCTCCCAACGGTGCTGGACTTCAGCACGAGGAAAGCCTCGTCTACGGAGGAGGAAGAGGAGGAGCACATCCTGAACCTCAGCAAGCCTCCTACGCCGTCTTCCTCGTCCGAGACGAACAACGGGCCCCTGGACCTGTCGGTTCCCAGCAGGAAGCGTCCAGGTCCGGAGGACTCGCCTCCTCCACCCCCTAGGAAGTCCTCCAGATTGGCATCTGCCGGCTCCCATCAGGAGACATCGCCAGTAGCTTCCTTCGGTAGACCCCCGGTGGTCTCTCCTTGGTCAACCCCTGTGGTCGCGTCGCACTTCCCCTACTTCGCGGCTGCGGTAGCAGCAGCAACTAGTCAGCAACAGCTCTCCCCGAAGAACACCGCCGGCGTGGAGCATCATCAGCTGTGGAACGGCAAGATGAAGCCACCAGTGGCACTGGAGAAGCCCTACCAACCTAGCGAAGCTACCAAGGCCTTGGAGAAGATGAGCGAGCTCAGCAAGCTGGGCGGGGAGGATCTCTTCAGGCCAGGAGCTGGTCCCACGGGTCCTTCCGTGGCGACAGGCTCTAGCAGCAGGCACAGTGCCTGGCAGTCCCATTGGCTGAACAAGGGGGCGGATCAGGCCAAGGACGTACTCAAATGCGTCTGGTGCAAGCAAAGCTTCCCTACGTTGGCAGCGATGACGACTCACATGAAGGAAGCCAAACATTGCGGAGTCAACATGCCCGTTCCTCCGACTGCTGGCAGTCTTCATCCCCAGCAGCCGTCCATTCCGACCATTCCACCGCCCCAGCAACATCAGCCCCAGACGTCGACCAGCAGCAGCAGTAACCCTGCCACCAGCAGCAAACAGAGCCCCTCGGAACTGAACCTGCTGATCAAGGAGACCATGCCCTTACCCCGGAAACTTGTCCGGGGACAGGACGTCTGGCTGGGGAAGGGTGCCGAGCAGACCAGGCAGATACTTAAATGCATGTGGTGTGGTCAGAGCTTCCGGTCCCTGGCGGAAATGACCTCCCACATGCAACAGACTCAGCACTACACCAACATCATATCTCAGGAGCAGATCATCTCGTGGAAGTCCTCGGACGAGAGCAAGGCCGGTGGCGGAGGTGGTGGTGGGCCTGCCGGAGGAGGTGCTGGGAGCGGAGGTGGACCTCCTGGAGGTGGAGGGGTCGTCCATGGAGGTGGAGGTCCTGGTGGCGCGACCAGCAGCCACGTGAGCGCGGTGCTGACGTGCAAGGTGTGCGACCAAGCCTTCAGTTCGCTGAAGGAGCTCAGCAACCACATGGTCAAGAATTCCCATTACAAGGAGCACATAATGCGCTCCATTACAGAGAGCGGTGGCAGGAGGAGGCAGACTCGAGAAAAGCGAAAAAAGTCACTTCCGGTTAGGAAGCTGCTGGAGCTGGAACGCGCGCAGAACGAATTCAAGAACGGCGACGCCTCGGGGGGTCTAGGACACACCCTGGGGAAGCACGCGGGCAGAATCACCTGCGAGAAGTGCGGCGACAAGATCGAGACGACCATCTTCGTTGACCACATACGTCAGTGTATAGGCGCCGGAGCGGTGGGCATCAATCAGCGGAACTTTCTGAAGAGTGCACTGATGTCCAACCACATGCCCCCGGTGTCGAACACCGAGAGTGGCCGGAAGAGCGTCAACGAGGACACCTCGTCGGTGTCGTCCAGGCACCACCGGTCGCCGTCCTCGGCCAGCGACGCGACCACGCCTGGGAAGGAGACCCCCACACCCACCACGACTGAAACAACGAGTTCCTCACCTTCGGTACTGAATGCCATTGAAAAGCTGATAGAGAAAAGCTTCGACTCGAGAATAAGGCACGGGGCGGCGGGGCTTCACCACACCCAGGGTGGTGCTCCCATGGGGTCCAGCATCCTGAAGCGGCTGGGCATCGACGAGAGCGTCGACTACACGAAACCACTCGTGGATCCCCAGACGATGAACCTGTTGCGCTCGTACCAGCAGCAACAGCAGCAGCAATATGGTGCCGCGAGCGTTGCCGCCAGGCGGGAACGCAGTGGTAGCGAGTCCAGCTCGATATCGGAAAGGGGAAGCGGTCGAACGGACGCCATGACCCCGGAAAGACGGATCGATCTCCCGGTGAACCTGGACAGGCACTCCCACGGCCATCATCACCGAGTCACGCCGGATAAACAGACCCCACTGCCCTCCTCGAGGCTCCATCCCGAAGAGTCCGGCGATGAGGAGCCTGTCATCAAGAAGGAACCGCGGGAGGACGACGCCGAGGCGGGCCCTGGCGAGGACGACCAGACCCACGGGACGAGAGACGTCGTCGTGAAGAAGGAGGTGATGGACGACCCTCGGGACGACGACGATCAGTCGACCTACAATCATCAGAGGAGTACCCACGACCCGGGGGAAGACGGACGAGAGGGCCACTCGCCCCACGTCGGTCCACCCACGCCTAGACCCACTAGTCAGGTGGAGCAGGTGCCCAGGAGTCCCTGCAGGAACAGTACCAGCAGTCCCACCAGCAGCGACAGGTCCGTCACCCCCAGAGGTACCCCGGACACGAAGGCGTCCAGCAGCCTGGGTGCCCTGTCCTCCATGTTCGACAGCCTGTCAGGGGGAGGTGGGACCTCGGGCAACGCCGGGGAGTCCCAGGGTCGCAAGACCAGCAGCCACCCTCTGGCGGCTCTGCAGAAGCTCTGCGACAAAACCGAGACCAGAGGCTCTTCCGGGAGCAGCGGGACCAGATCAGGGTCCGGCTCGGCACCCACCATTGGGCCCTCCAGCGGGTCATCCGGCGTTCCTGGACCTGGACCCGGGGGCCCCACTCCCGGTGCCATCCTCGCCTTCAGCTGGGCCTGCAACGACGCCGTGGTCACCGCGGACTCCATCATGAAGTGCGCCTTCTGCGACACTCCGTTCATCTCCAAAGGGGCGTACAGGCACCACCTCTCGAAGATGCACTTCGTCAAGGACGGCGTCAACCCGGACCCCCTTGGTATCTCCAGGTCCGGGGGTCCTTCCTCGACCCCTGCTGGACAGTCCAACCCCACAGGCCCCAGCTCCTCGTCGCCGACGTCTCAGCGTAACAAGTCCCCACCCATCCCCCAAGCCAACGGGAGCCCCTCTCAGCCTGTCGCCTCACCCCTGGAGGAAAGTCCCCATTCTAAGTTTCTCAAGTATACGGAATTGGCCAAGCAATTGTCCAGCAAGTACGTATAGTCCGAGCCGAGTAATTAGCGGTGCAACCTGTACATAAGTGTATCTATATGACTGCTGGGGAAAGAAAAAGAAAAGGAGCACTCGCCGGTCACCGTTGCTCCGGCTATGACGAGTACTGCCGCGGTACGCGAAAGGGTCGTTGCGTTTTCTACCGCTTAGGAGGGATTCAATTTTCTGGGTTAACGATGCATCGCGCCAAGGGACACCTCCGATTAGGGAGTCTATCTAGGACTAGCTTCGGGGACGGACCATCGAATCCAGTCGTTTCCTTCCCCCCCGGTTTTCATTCTCGACGTGCATTTTTAAGATAGAAAATTGCATTTATCCGGAGGAGAGGCGGAAAGGCGAGGCTTGATCTTTTCGCTTGTGATGGCAGAGTAGCGGCATCGGGTCCGGGAATTAGAGTAGGTCGTTAGAAGTCCTGGGGGTCGTCGTTGTTGCGTAGGGCTCGCCAAAGGGTGCGAGGGTCCTACCAGGACCTCCTAGTGGAATCTCGGATCGAACCGAGCCCTGTGGCTCCGCTTTTAGCACGTTTAAAAAAATAAAAAAAGAAACGCGCTTTTTATGGACTCTCGCACCATTTCGCGCCGGTCTACGGAACGGGAGCGGAATGAGAGCAAGGCGAATCGTCGAAGGGTCAATCGATTGTGATGCCACCATATCTCGCGGCGCTGCTGAGTCTCGGTGCTCGGCACAGGCCCAAGTTGTGATTTTATAATAATATTACTTAAGGCAGTTTAAACGGAGAAAAAAAAATTAACACAAGGAGCCGAACGGCCGGACGGAGTACTCGACTAGAAGATGCTTTTTGTTCGCGCGAGGGAGGACCTATAAACCTTGTCGGCCGATCGTCAGCATGTATACCTCTAGGCTGTAAGACATAGTTAACTAATAGCGTAGGATAGGCTAGGCGACCTGTTAAGGATTCCCTTTGTTGAGAATTATAGCCGGTAAAAGAAATAAAAAAAACTACGCTAAGGACGCGCACGTCGCGTTCCTTCCGCATAAGGACGACCCTCGGGGGCGCACGACGACGACGCGGTGCAATATTCTTAGGGTTTATTATTGCAGCATTGCAAATATACAAACAAACAAAAAAAGGAATAAAGAAACGGAGGGGCGCACTCGCGCTACGAACTCGGGCTGCTCGGGAGGGGGGAAGAGGGAAGGGGGCCACTGGGGTTGAACCGTGTAGAACATTGTAAATTTTCCTTGTTTTAAAAGAACAAAAAAAAAATGAAGTGAAGTATTTATTATGCGCCAGGTTAAGCGAACGCGTCATTATGTATAAAATATTATCATTACTATCATTCGGATTATCGCGATATTGTGTATATTATTATTATCTAATATAAATAGCGAGAGGGGGGCGGCGGGGAGCGAAGGGGTTGAAAGGTGGAACCGAGAGAATGCTTCGGGGTGAAAGTGGATTAATGCGTGGATGAGAGTCTGACGAATCTGTGTGGGAGGGTGTGACAGTGGTACCGGAAGCGGAAGCAAAGCGGAAGCGAGCGAGGGCACCTGAGGGGAACCGGGAGGAACACACACACACACTTGTATACGTATTTCTTGTAAACTCTAATTCTTCCATCGCGGACTTTAAAAAAGTATTTATCGACATAATAATAATAATTAATATTATTATTGTAATTACATACGACTGCTGACAGAAAGCGAGAGAGAGAGAAAGAGATTGAGTGAAAGGGAGGGAGAGAGAGAGTAGAGAGAGAGAGAATGAAGGGTGAGCGAGGTCGACATCGACACACCTACATTCGAACCGAACAACCAATCCAAAACGACACACCACCTACACCCACCGAGACACACACGCGGCTGACAAGCGACCACAAATATGCATCATGTATACGCGATAAGAAAAAAAAAAGGAAAAAAAAAAATAATAAGAAACTCTTGAAACCATTTTACCAGATTTGTCATTATTTAATTATTTCGGTTGTATTTTAAAATGCAATTAAAGCTCAAATAAATATATATGTTATAAACTGAACGCCCCCGTCTGAGGTCTTCTCTCATGCCCTGGATCCTCGGAGCCCCTTTCCATGGAGATCGTTTCCTTGCATTTTAGAAATTGTCCTATCGGTAGAAATGATCTTCTCGGGATACGGTTCAACCCGAGGATGCGTAAGTACGGCCAGTGGAGGAGGTCGATGTGTGCGTTCGTTCCCTTCCCCATCACCGGTCCATGGTGTCGGGTTCTAATGGTGGCGAAGGTCGTCCCCCGTTGGTGCGGTGGAGGCGCCGGAGGTGCGGAGGGCCGGAGGATGCCCGATGCGGAGGTGGAGGCCGCGAATCGACGCGCAGGGAACCGGTCGCCTCCGCGAGAGATACGCCGCATGCCGGAGATACGCGGCCATTTTATTTTGCCCGTAATGCGCTAATGAATTGATACAGCGCCGAGCAGCTCCTTGCAGCCTCCCTCCTTTCATCTTCCACCTCTGGAACTCGATTATCCCCATTCTCTCTGGCCGGTTGCCGCGGATTTCGCGCGGCCCTCCCACCCCGGGATCTTCCTTTTACAGGAGACAGGACCCCCTCCTTCCCCCCCGGGGGATCCTGCTCGGTGGCTGCGCGCTCGTAAATTTCTCCGAGGGTCGGGCCTCGATATTCAAACTCGAGACAGACCGCGGAGCGCCATTAAAGGAAATTCCGTGCGAGATCGGTCGTCAGGGATCGGTTGCGCAGCCCGATGATGTCACCAGGATTTACCGGCCAACTTGGCCGGCGTTCCCCTTTCGGATACCTCCCTATTAGCGATTCGCGGATGACGGACGCTTTATGTCCCCCAGGTCCTGGATGGCGACCTGCTACTTGGTCGCTCGACGCCGCGCCACGTGGCGGAGGGATCTCACGTTAGATTTCGATCTATGGAAGTTATGATCCATCCAGGACCCAAAATATGGCGGAGGGACCTCGCGAAGGACCGTCCGGCCGCGTGGGAAGGAAACGGGAGGCACGGTTCGGCGTAAAAGTGGGGAAAGATGACTTTCGGTCAGCCAAGAACGAGTCCAAAAGCTCTTTGGACGCGCCGAGTCCCCTGTCCCGGGGGGAGGTATAAAGGCCCGCTTTAAGAGGCCGAGGGTTAGTTTAAGCGGCGCTGGAGAATCGGTAGCCACTCCAGTGTTTTATTTTATCCTCTCCGCTCCATAAGATCGCATTCTTTACGACCCATTAGACGAATTCATTACCAGCCCCGGGCAACGGGTAGGTGAGGTCCGTGAGCCTTCCACCCCGCGCCTCGCCGCCATCTTGCTTTCTCTCTCGCGTCTCAAAGAGGGGCCTCTGCCTCTCCCTGTCTCTCTTCCTCTCCTCTGTACCCGCAACCGCCCCTCTCTCTCGCTCTTCCTCCTTCCCGACGGAGGCAGAGGCGCGTCGATGACCGCTTCATAATTGCTCGGACGCTCGATTAAGCGCGTTCGACTCAAACGTATCGCCGCTATTTATGGCAATTCCCCCCTGGCTGATGGACGACGATTTAGATACCGGGGACGGTCGTCTGAAAAACCCCGCCCGATCGCGGCAAATCGAGCCTTGAATTTATTCCGACGCCGGGACCGACTGCTGCCTTTCGTCAAGCTCCCACTCCCAAAGCTACTCTGGGTCTTCCATGCCCAGAAATGGATCCTGACTGTTGATTTAAAGATGATCGGTAATTAACTTCGGACCTAACCTTCCCTTTGCGAGACAACCGGTCGGCAATTAAATCGGAGACCTTATAAACGGCATTAAATGCATTGCCCTAGAAAAGATCAGTTTTGGGTGTTGATGCCCACGTCTAGAGACATATCCTTACTCCTGGGCCTTATTTAAAGGTATTAAAGGATTTTCGACTTTTGCGGGATAACCAGTCCGATGGATCCATTCTCGAGAATCAGAGTCGGGGAACGAAAGTCGCAGATCGCGTTGTCCACGTGTTGAAGAGCTTTTTGAGGGGCGTGGGGAGCGAGATCAGTTTTTAGATCGATCGGTGGAGTTCTCCATCTTCCTGGGCGTTGAGAACCACGGACTGCCCCGAGGACGGTACAGGCCCATCGAAATCCGTAATTCTTGGTCGATCGGCCCCGCGATGAACTCCGCCGGGCACAAATCTCTAGCGTCCTTTCGCGAGGCTCTAAAGCCTCCCCCTCCGGTTCCCGGGATCCCGGTCGACCCCTTCGAACAATTCGTGTCCGCGTAAGCGCAGTCCGTCTTGGACACGTCCTGGCGTTCCTGTTCTTTATGTGAACCGGCCAAGAGCTATGGGACCTCTAGTTACTATCTATACCGGCAGTCCGTCCTCCCCTCGGTCCACCTCCGCCACGTCCACCAGGGTGGACGAGCCGGTGTGTATGGACAGGGGCCCGGGTGGTGGAGTGCACCCACACGGGGACGCTTCGGCGTCCAGACGCGTGGTTAGGCCAGTCGAAGATCGCGTCTGTATGGGACCGGGCGTCCCGGTGTGCGAGGAACTGGGCTCCGAGGCATTAGAGCCACCAAAAACCCGGAGATCCGCAGATAGTCCGAGATTTGTGGCGGTCGTGGTCGCCGATAACTGGCCTCCGTGCCGACCGTTCCCGGGCGTACCCACTTCACGGCCGTCGATGACATCGAACCTTAATCCAACGGATCTAGGCGCATTATACGCGGATATACCACTGGTATATCGACCTGGCGCATGGTCCTGGACCATCTTCGGAGACGAGCAAACGCCCGACAGAGGGGCAGGCTTTGAGCTTTGGTGGAGGGCCCGGAATCCATGGTGGTTGGGATGGAACGAACTGGACCAGATACGAGGTCTCTCGAGTCATGGGATTCATAAAGTACACTTTTAGGAGGTTCGTCAGAATTACCGAGGGGAACTACCGCCAGCAACGCCATGTCCTCGCAATTCAAGACTCATGCCCATCCCCATCCAAAACGTGCTTTACATCCGCCGGAGGAACATCTCTCGGTCTTCGTGGAGGACCTTCGAGGGTTCTGAAATTGTCCTCGGTAGAAAACCACCGGGAGCGGAAACCCCCTACAAATCCTAGGATTCACTAAGTACCCCTCTTCCCCCAAGCCCTCCTGTTCCATCGGGCGCAGAAAGTCGGGAGGACTCCCCCCAGCGACCGCATCCTCTCATCCAGGCCCGATGGGGGCCCATCACCATCCATCGCGTCCGGCGGACCGTCCCTCCGGTCCATCGGTGGCGTCCCCTGGAGAACGACCCACCGCAGGACCTTCACCTTTATCCCGATCCTCGGAGTTACGAGCTTTCGACTCTGGGAGGTCCTCTATTCCGGTTTCGAGAGAGGGCGCGTCGTTCGCAAATAAAGTATCGATCTTTATGATGGCGATCTTTTCGCCTCTCCCCCGGGCGTCCATTGCGGCCGACGCGAAGGACGCGCGACCGGCGACCGGCGACAGGAGGCCGACGGGCGACGTCGCGACGTCCCGGTCTCGGTCGCGTGTCGCGTCGCGGAGGCGACGGCCTCGTTATGCTCGGGCGTGGGCGCGAAGTCGCGTCCCCGTCTCCGTAGGTGGAGGCGCGCAGGCGGCGGAGGTGGCGAGGAGTTTGGGGGCGGCCTCCAGGGGGAGCCAGGGGCACGGGGGGCGAGAATCTGTCAGGGCTGCCACACTCGGGCACAGATTTACAGGGCTGCCGCTGTTTTACGAGCCCACAAAGTGCCGCTCGCTTCGTTCTCGAGCCTCCGCTCTCGCTCTCCCACACGCGCGAGCTGGCTCGCGGGCTCGCGCTTATAAACACGTCATTCTATCGCCCGGCCAACCCCATTATTCAAAACTTTACAATGCTCTTATATCTCGAAGGGACCACAAATTAAAGATTTCGCCGCGCAATTTGCCCCGGGCCCGGCATCGCCGGTATCGGGGTCCTTTCCCTCACCGGGAGACGTTTCCCCCAGAGATCCCTCTGATCCCTTTTATCGCGAAGGGAACTCGAGAAATGGCATTTGGGTCAAATTTCAACTTCAAGAGCGAGACCATATTTAGGGTAAATTCTATTCGACGGGATGAGGTTATTAGAGTCTCAGGAGTATTTCTTAATTTTGGTCTAGGGGTTGAAACAGTCTGGGGGAGACGAAGGGACGCAAAGAAGTCGCGTTTAAACAACGAAGAGGGAGACGCGAGCGCTATCTCGGTCAGATTTAAAAATCACGAGTAAGAGCAAGTTCGGGTTAAAAAAAAAAACTTGGTCTAGGAACGTTGAAGCGGTCTGGAGGAGGCGAAGAAGTCGCGCGGATCCCCAAGACGGTGCATGGAGAATTCGCATAAAGAGCTCACTGTGCCATGGCTTTATCAGGTTGACCCTGAAGAACCCGCAGGTGCCAGGATGGTGTTTTATTGCGGCGGTAATCGAGACAGGGCCGAGAGACGCCGGAAGTGCTCGCAGATACGAGGACAGGAAGTCGAGGGAGCCACACACGGCGTCGGTTCTCTCGATTCTTCCTCTCTTGGCCGCGGTTACTCGGAACCAAACAAATGTCTCTCTGGCAAAGGAAACATCGTCCCGAGGCTTGGGAAACCCTCCCCCGCGTCCTCCGGTTTTCCGAGCTCTAGGTCCGGCTTTTTTAAACCGAACCAATTAGGTCCCACGGCGTGAATAAATCTCATCCGTTTCCTCGTCTCCCGGTAGTTGGGCAGCCCTTAAGGCCGAGTCAACTATGAGGCAATTACCGAAAGTTGAAAAAGCCCGCGGAGGGTTAACCAAAACCCCAACCCTGGGACCGGCCCGGTTAGTCCGCTCTTAATTCAGGAACGAAGTTTAATAATTGACAGTACCCAGGAGAAGGGTTGGAGTCGAATCTTGGGAAGCTGCTGAGAGACGAGAGGACCGAAAGTGTACCTCGGGAGCAAAAACCTTGGACGAAGGAACAGAATTTCAAAGTCCAACGATCGAACGAACGCCACCCTCGGGGGAATCGAGAGTCGATAGACAAATTCAAAGTCGGCCTTCCAATTTTGGACCTGGTCCTTCGATGTCAACGTCGAATTTAGATTTCGTCTCGT